ACACATAATAGATCAAACATTATACAAATATTATAAAAAGGAAACCCTAATACTCTGGTGTTGTTTTCTAACATCAGTACTAATCTATAATAACTATAAATTTCTTCAGTTACTAACAGAATTTAAATAGTAATTCTAGGCAGATGTAGATTAGGTTAACTGACTGATTATAGTTCTACCTTCATCCAGAAAGAAACAATAAAACACTTAACTTTTAAAAATTTTACTCAGCAAAAACAGCCACATTTTTACTGCATCTGTAATAATAATAATAATAATCTGTTAAACTGAATATCTAAGTGTGGTCACCTTTATAAAATTATTAAATCGTTTTATGTATTTATTTTGTCCGTACCATTAATGCATTTGTTTTTCCTGAAATAAAAGTTCAGTTTGTCGTATTTTCCTGATTCACCATCATGACTGTCGGTTTTATTTTACTTAATTTTGAGAGATGTTAAACCTTCTGACTCATTCCAGGAGAAAAAAAATACAGAAATTTGTCATTTTTCTTTAAACCAGATCCTAATCTTGAAGTACTTCAGAGTTTTTAAAGGGTTAGAACTGACTTAAAAAAAAAAAAAAAAAAGAAAACCTGGTAGTGAAGCAGCACCAACTGTTTGTTGGTCCAGATCTAAGAAATGCTTACAGAACAGGTGTAAGGTACAGTACGACTGTTTGATTGAAAACATACAAGCTTCCAGAATTGTTGACAGTTCAACACAAAGACACACACAGAGACGGACACAAATACAGGGTTGCATACCTCGTGCCTCTTCTGCCTCTACGGTGGCTGTGTAAGCGTGAGTAGCAGTGCCATGCCCAAAACAAAAAGAAAAACAAAACAATGGAGAAAAAGTGGTATTGTTAGAGATCAATGCATTCAGACAGTCAAGTTATCACTGCAATCAGTCAGTCCTGTTAAATTGGAGTCAATCATCAATCAACCCCACACCCCCTCCATCCTGACCCCCCAAGTATGGAGCTCAGTTACAATCATCATCATCATCATCATCATCATCATCATCATCATCATCATCATCATGGGAGGACAAAGGAATGACTGTGTGTTGTGTGTATGCTGCCCTAAAAAGACAAAAACACAGAACTACAAACTAAAATTTTACTTTTTCTGGAATTTATGAACTCTTTTTACACTCAAATGGACTTGGAAAACAAAAAAACAACCAGTATGATTAAACATTCAGTAAAACTTCTTAACTTTGTTAGGAGATTCAAAAAAATCATGACGTTAAATCAAAGTACATCAGCAAAGTTACAGAGAGTCTTCAAACTCTGTTATGCAACCCTTTAAAACAAAGATAAACAGTTTGGAGATTATTTATTAATTTTAAAAATGAAACTAGACAAATCCTGCCTTAATCTCTAAAGCCTTATGGATATAGCATTTTAGGAGGGCTCAAATTGTGTTTTGTTTTTTTAAACGAGTTACAGAATGAAAATCTTGATGGACAACCATGGTGAAAAAACACAACCTTTTGAAAATCATAGCCCCAACGCTGACCTACAACACAAGCTCCTTTTAAGGAATACATATGTACACAACACGCTTTGTGTGTCGGCCTTGTTTCCTGTTTTTGGTGCAGTTTTCTGTCTCAGCGCCACATACAGGCTCAGCAAAGTTACTACATCATTTTCAGTGTTTCAGTGCAGAAGAAAATATATCTAGTAATGGTGCCAATTTTACAAGGGTATTTCTAGAAACAATAAATACATTTTTTTAAAGGTTAAATAACTTAGTGTTTGATCACAACCAAAATATAACTATCAATGTTTGCAAAACCCTGATAATCGCCTCCCAAATCTTTTAATTTAGAAATTAAATCCTAATGTTTTTCGTTAAAATTGTTTTAGTGTATTTTTTATTATTGGTGACAGTTATTCTGCTTTTTCTTAAATTTTCACTTGATGACAATGACAAAATAAACCTAATGATTTATTACAAACATAAAATATTGGCTGGTGGCAATAAATACTGGAGCATAATTGTGGTACAGTCAAATAAATCAGTATATTTTGGGAAAAAAAAGACCGACCCAAAATAAAACAATATAATTTATGATTACATAAACCCATAAACTGTATGTGTGAGTCGGATGTGGTTACAGGTACAATCACTGCCTGGCTCCACCACAGTCAGAAAAATTACCTTTTTTTAAAGAAAATATCTTTCAGCAGTAAATGACTTTCATGGTACAATCACTCAAGATCAACCATCTTGTAAAACTCTGTCACAACAACTCTCCTGACAGTTTCCATGTGCAAAGCAAACATGGGTGAGGTTTTAAGACCACCAGAAAGACCCTTCCACTTCACAGCCTGCAGACAACACTTGTGTGGTTTTCTGTCTTTGTAGGGCAGCATGAAGAACTAACAGATCAGTGCTTGACCACCTGACACATACATGTCTGTGTGTGTTTGTGTGCGTGTTGCAGTGTTGGTAAGGGAAGGGCAGTTTGTCAGCAGTTAGTTACTGGCGGTGAGCTCAGACGGGGGGGGGGCGGGACAGTTAGTGTTAGCTGGACTCTCAGGTTAGTGTGTGTCGGGATGCTCGGCTGCGCCGCACTCACCGGTCTGAAGGGTCCGTCGACCTCCAGACAGAACTCCCAGAGGAAGTGTTCCCGTCGGGGTCAGTCCCTTCAGCTGCAGCACACTCTCATTCTCCTCTCTGACAACACACAGACACACATTTTAATGAGCTTTAAAAACGACAATCATTTCTTTCATTTACAAACCAGTGAAGTTAAAATCAAACGGCATTAAGACAAACATAAACCTGAAACATAAACTGGTTGGTGGTGTTTAAAAATGTTTTGTAAAAATACTGTTAATATCTTGGAAAATCACATTATACTGAAAATTACATTTCTCAGTGTAAAGTGGTCAGCAGGGGACAGTATGGAGCGAGGTCACACTCATTAGCTAATGTGCTGCAGACTCACAATTAATCTTTGAGCATTTTGTTTAGAAAGAGTAATTGTTCAAGCATGTTTGTAAATCACTCATATGTAAAGTTTCATGTACTCCTGGGTCACAGGTGGAGCATGAAGACCTGCAGAGGTGAATCAAATACGGTTTTTGATTAATGTTGTGGAAAATCTCCACATCAGAGGGTTTGCTTTTGAAATGCTGTCAAATTTCGAAGGTTTGGGAAGTTTTAGACGGCAGGACTTCACACTTAAAAGTGGGGCTCTGTGGAAAAACTGATGGAAAATTTAATATCTTACCTGTCGAAGATACAAATTTTTAAACAACCTCAATTTAGTATGAACGCTTACATCTAGGGCTGCTAAATGATTAGTCGACGACTAATCGTTTATTAAAATAATCAATGACTAATTTAATAATCGATTAATCGTTTTCTTTCTTTTTTCTTTTTTTGTTCTTTGTTTTCTCTCCAAACTGCTTTGACACCTTCCACTGCCACATCTGCCTTTCTGTCCTTGACACACATGCACAGTAGTCGTAACTGGGGTAGGCTGTGGACGTCACAAGACATTATACAGACAGGCTCTGGTATCATGGCTACCTGACAACGGAGCTCAAAAGTGTGGGATCATTTTAAGAAAATGAAAGAGAAACCTGTGCAATATCTGCAGAGCAGAACTTACCTTCCACAGCAATTATTTTTTTGTTAGCATATAGCTAAAATCTAACAATGGTTATAATAGCAGCTGCATTCTGGTGCGATAAGCTGTATGTTTTATATTCAATTAACGTATGATCTGATTAGTCGACTAATCGAAAAAATAATCTGTGATTAATCGATTATAAAAATAACCGTTTGTGGCAGCCCTACTTATAGGACTGATGAGCTAACAGCTAGTTTAAATGCAACCTCGTGCCAAAGTTTTTTTTCCTTCAAATAGAGCTTGTTCAAAGGATCATCTAAAACAGGTAACATACTGTATATAGAGTGACTATAGTGCTGGGCAGTATAACCCAAATTTTATATCATGTTTTTTCAACAGTTATACCAGTATCACAGTATTTTTCCTTTCACCAAACGCTGTTTATTGATTATCAAACCATGGTTAGCTGAAATTACTCTCTTTCTGCAACACCAACTATTTCTTGACTTTTTTATTTTACTGTTTCTCAATCTGTGTTACAGTTTCTCTCCTCTACATGTCTTTTTTTCTCTGCCTGGTTGTAGACAGTCGCACATTTTAATACGGTCATGAAGGAGGAGGGATGAGCAAAGATCATTATCAGGTCCATCATTTTGGGTTATTTGATACAGCTTAACAGGACGACTCATTACATAACCACTTCCCCCAGAAGTCCCCCAGCTTTTCACAATAAAAGTACATTAACGTCCCCATACGATGGGCAAATTAATATTGTGCATGAAATCTATCCGTGTATTCTACATTTTAACCCACTTTGTTAAAATTTGTCTTATAAAAATGAATCATTCACGTCACATACTTTTCATGGGGTGGAACAAAATTACATACTCATAGCCTTATTTAACCCCAAGGAACAAAATATAAAAGAAACAAATAAAGAATGCGCAACAAAAAGAAAACAGAATAACAAGAAATAACAAAATACAAAAAAACCTGTCAATAAATTGAGCCACAAGCCGTGTTTCCATCCAATTTTAATTCGAACTTTGAGCAAATTTTTTAAATTTCGCAAAAAGGAAAAAAAGAAGAAAAAAAGTGAATCAGACGTGTTTCCATCAACTGGCTTGAACGAATCAATAACGTCAGACACGTGCGTGTAGTAAACAGGAAGTAAAAGTCGCAAACTCGCAGGGTCCACACATCTCAGGATAATGGCTGTGTCCAAAATGACAGGCCGGGTCCTCCGGAGGACCCAGACTCCCCGGTCTCGGCAGGCCGGGTCCTTGGTAGACCGGGAAGACCGGAAAAAAAAGAGGCTGTGAATTTGGACGGTCTAGCCTCCCCTCCTTACCCCGGTGTACGTCATGTCACCTAGCAACTGTGACAACGCTAAACAAGCAAACTTAAATCAAAACTAGAAAAATATCAATACATTAGCATTATTAATATCACAAAACTATAAAATTAACTTAAAAGTATCATTTGAAGAACTAATTGACCCGCTGTAGGTGCATGTTTATTTCGCGTTTTTTTATGACGAAAAAATAATATTTAAAAACATGTCCATACAAATGATAAAAGTATTAGAATTACAACCGCTATTTTTTTAATTTTTATATCACCACATTTTTATTTAAAACGTATTCTTTTCTCTCGCTTCGTCCGCCATTACTAGCATAAACAAATCTCTGGTCGGGCCGCAATGCATTATGGGATATGCTGGGCCGGGAAGGATCCATCAGACCTGTCCTTCGATTCGGGCCAAAGGAAGGACGTATTTGTCGGCCGCATCGGAGGAGTCTTCGGTTTCGGACGTCCTTCGTCGCGGCGCTGTGACGTATGCAGCCGACAAATTTGACCTTCGGAGGACCCGTCCTGCCGTTTTGGACACAGCCAATGATAAGTTATCAGGAAAGTTCTAATTATTGTCATATCAACGAATTCTGGTGATGTTACTGCTGTCTGGAGACGTAGAAAAAGAAATGTAATTCTCTTCACGTTACGGGAATAACTGAGAATACGCTGACAGCGGGAGGAGGGTCCAGCTGCAGTCGCTCTGGTATCAGTACTGGTACCGTTCAGACAGTGAGAACAGCTGCTCAACCATGTGAGGTTATCTGTCAGAACTTATTCGACAAATGTGTTTCCATCTCTCCCTTTGCGCATTAACTCTTTCGAAAAACCCAAAACAACGACTAGCGAGCGTATCAACTTTTTTTTTGTGAAATAGAGGAAGTTTTTTGGAATCAAGCCGTTTTCACTCACCTTTACTCATGCGATACTTCAAAATGTGCATTAAAAAATGTTGATGGAAACAAAGCTACAGTGACTTAAACAAAGAGGAGACACTGCAGTGAACCTGAAAAAAAGGTTGATTCATAGTCGTGCTGTAGCTAAAGACAAATATAAACTTTGGGACATCTTTCCAAATAAGCAGAATATCTAAAGTAACAACTGTAACGACAAACAGAAGTGTCTGCGGCTGTTTTCTGTGTTTTGGTCTGTGGGGCTTTTCACACTTCTTACATGTGTAGGTGTTGTTTGTGTTAAAATTCTTTGTTTCATCAGACTGTAAAACACAAAGTTAACGTGTAATAAAAAAAACAAAGTTCTCACATATGATAAAAACAAGTGTTTCGTGTGTTGCTACTTTAAAACAAGTCGACGCACTGAAACCATCTGTTTGATAAAACAAAACAAGCAGCTGCTGCCACACTGATAGAGATCACTGCAATGATTTCTGGGCCTTTAAATGACTAATTTCAGACGAGAAATGACACACTTTTTATGGGATTAAAAGAGGACAGAAGTAAATCAAGAAAAAAAGTCATTAGCTCTACACTAAAGTGGAGCAAAGGCTGAAAAAACACAACTTTTTTTGTCCAATAACCTCATTTATTGGAAATTAAAAGGACAATAAGACGCCTGTTTCTTATTTTCTTTTAAACTAAACATACCCTAATCTAAAGTGTCCAGAAGGATAATAACCCCTCATAATTGCTGCTAATAATAAAGTGGCAGCTCTCTTTATTATTACTATTAATTATTATTATCACCATGTCAAATTCAATCCTTCATTCAGAAACATAAACACACCTGAGCACAGAGAAGACACGGGCCATCTTTCCAATTGCCCGGATCTTATTTCTGATCACCTCCTTCCTGGCAGCTGGAGCTCCACCTGCAGAGGACAAACAAAAAAATAAAGTTATAAAAAGATAAGTTGTGAAGTACAAAATAATAATAATAATAATAATAACAACTGTGTCTTTTTTCTGGTTTCTAAAAGGTTAAAATTTGCTTTTGTTCACCCGAAGATGAATCTGAAAGATGTCAAAATTAATAGCATGCATGAAAACTCGCAGTCTCCAGTCTGATCCGTGTATTTCAAAATGGACAGTTTCTGAATCATAAACAGCAGTTTCAGTTGTCAACACCACTGTTTTACTGAACATATTGAACATAGTGGGAGAGGACAGGAAAACCAGCCAGTCTGTGTGTAAAAGATCAAAATCCTCATTAACCACTGTTCTCTCTACTTATTTTAATTTTACTAAATGATGTGCACACAGCACTTATGTATATTGGGCTTCAGCAGCATGCTTTAGAGTTGCTGAAAGAAATTCAGCAGCCCTGTCAGATAAAACATTTCTTTTTAGAATAATTCAGGGAACACTTTCACACGGCAGGTGTTTACTTTGGCACAAACGGCTTCAAAAGGCAGTGAAAACCTCCACGCCTTCAGGAACCCAGTTTTCTCTTATCTTTAAAGTTTACTGTTGATCACAGAGGGTTGCTGAGTCGCACCTCTCAACTCAGCAGATAAATGAAAGTAAAACCTTTTACAGCAAAGTGTTTGTATCTGTCACAAAGTATATAGAAATCTAAACTCTGTTTTCTTTTTGTTTTTCCGATCCATGTCCTCATTAGAAAGTCCAGTTAGTTGTAGGGGTGTAAGAAAATATCGATACACTGAAATATCGCGATATTTCATTTCCTGATACTGTATCGATATTCTAAAGCCCTGTATCGATTTTTATTAAGGTTTAAAATGTCAACTTTCCTGCCAGCCGTTCATTTTTATGTTGTAGTTCAGCCTCTGACCACTAGTTGGAGCAGTGAGCCAGCCATTTGGCTCCTCTACTTCTTGAGCGCCAGAGAGTAAGAGAGCATTAGCATGGTGCGTAAACATTAGCTTCATGCTCCGATAGCTGAATCTGAGCGGAAAAGACCGACACCCTCTGCCTTCTAAGCTGAGGTAAGGTTACAAACAGTTACTTATTTGTCAGAATGTCTGTATTTTAAGCCAAATTAAGTGTCTTGTGCGCTCTTTTTTCCAACTGTAGTCAGCTTTCACATTACGCACAGCGCATGTGTCTATCACCTCGAGCGAGCTCGGCACTCCCCCCGTGACATAAAACTGTCTGTTGCTCTCAATGTCCAGCTGATGATCGCATCAAAGTCCGTATACTTTATCCTGCTGTGTTCGCTTCAAAAACGGTTTAACTCGTTTAGCTTCTCAATTTCTTAACTGGTTTTCCTCAGGACCTGCCCTGCTGTTAACTGGTTTTCTTCAGGACCTGCCCTGCTGTTAAATGGTTTTCTTCAGGACCTGCCCTGCTGTTAACTGGTTTTCTTCAGGACCTGTCCTGCTGTTCGACCCACAGTCCTGTAAATCAGGTTCTGGATGCAGGTCAGCTGATCCCAGAAACTCTGTGTGCAGCAGCTTCATATCATCTGTTTACTGAACTTTATGACAACATAAAGGCTATTGTTAAGTGTTGGGTGATCATATTGTAAATTAATATTAAAAACTAAAAGCTGCAAAAAATACATTTTCAAACTATTTATTGGCAAATTTAGTCTCATAATTGAAAACATGGATGAAATATGAAACAAATAAAATAAAACAAATACAAAGCAGAAAACAGCTAAATGTATCAAAAGTAGGGCTGTGTATTGACAAGAATTTGGCGATACGATACATATCATGACAGAGGGGTCACGATACGATATATCCCGATATATTGCGATACTGTAAGCAAGGCAATATATTGTGATATATTGCGATTTTTTTTTGTCCAAAAATTTTATTAAATAAAAACCTCTTACTGGAAAAAAGAAAAACCAAACTTCATTGTCTCAGAAAATTCTAATATTACATAGACATACTTTTGATTAGTGGTGTAAGAAAATATCGATACACTGAAATATCGCGATATTTCA